CCCCAAAACCCCAAAACCCCAAAACCCCTTTTTAAAACTCACTTACAAGTATATTCATAAATTAACTGCTAATTCTTAAAATGGATAGTGAAGAAGACTCTAAATCAGGTATGCTCTCTTCTCCCCCTACTTCAGTAACATAAAATATATTAACCTCCTAAGCTCACTTTCTTTCCTTAAAGACCTTGACTAAACTGAATTTGTCTGCTTATCGAATAAGTTCTTGCTAAAATTTACTACCCCAGAGCTGAGATGATAGATCTGAAGCACGGAAAAATATGTTTCATAAACCTAACTACCCTGAGAGTCTCTTCAAGAGAGTTCCTGAAGCAAAGGATCACTCTTAGAAGGACTTTTAATAAGGAATACTTTATACACCCATGAAGCTAAATTCAATTTCCATAAATTTTAAGAGGAGAAAGGTTAAACATTGAATATAGCCAGAATGGCAGAGTATGAGCAGGATGAAGACTTTAATGAGGAAGACCATTTCCAACAGGATTATAACTCAAGCCAAAGAAGAGAGTAAGAATATTCATAATATAAACAGATTCGATAAAATTCCGAACTTTGTTCTTATTGTGGAGCACGGTGGTGTATACTCCCAAAACCTGACCTCTTCTTAGTCTTTGAGAAGGCAAAGCATTACTCTACTGTGCTTCTTCTCTTGAGCAAATGGAGCATACCTTTCAAATCTCATTTTATTCCCAGTGGCTTCGAACAGAAAGCTAAAGTAGATCCTAAAGCTTAAGAGATATACCAATTTTTATCTATCTGTTCATCTGGTGAAGCGTATATGCAAAAGATTCCATTCCTTAAAATAATGGGATGGAAAATAGACAATATTTCAACCTTTTGAAAGTTCTTGAAGTATTTCGAATTTATTTACTCTCAATTTTAAATTTCCAACTGTCTCTCACACTTCTATATAGAATTGAAACGACAGAAGAAAGTAAGGGATCTAGTTTTCACTCTTTATTGTCCAAAAATGTCTTTTTTATTCAAAATTTCAGAATAATCTGACTAACATGTAGTTATCCTGAGACATATCGACAATGATAAATTAATCCAGTCTTATAAGAGTGGAAAAGAGGAAATAACAGGTATTAAGCTTTAATTTTAGCTACAAATTGGCTAAAAAATTTGAACATTTGTTTCCACTATTCAAATTCTTCATATTATTAAGTTCATAACTGTAAATATAGACCTCGACTTTGACGTTAGAGGAAATGTCTACATATGCATCTTCTTAGCAGGTAAGCTACGATACTTCTCCTATATTTATCAAATAGGGGTGTCTGACAATCGTACGAACGTGTTCAAAACTACTCTTCAGAACAATAAGATGGAATTTGAAGAGTTCATTAAAATCAAAGATGACCAAAAGTTCTTTGACCTTCTCATCTCGGTATGATTAAAGTACCAATTTTAGGAGCCAAATCTAATATTGAAGGCAATAGAGTACACAATTGAGACCAAGATGGTCTCAATACTAGAGCATATTATAGATGAAGCTAGCTCTAACTATTTAGACATGCACATTAAAGACGATGTAAGGCTCTTAGCTCAATTTTAGATCATCAAGAAATTAATTTGTCTGTCTGACGACAGCACTAATAAACTCATCCTCAGAAGACTATGAGGAAGATACATTACATTGCTGCAGACATCAGAGAGATTTGAGCATTCTTTAGATGAAGATAAAGAAATTAGTCATATTGCTGAGGATTCAGAAGATATTTCAATCATGAATAAAGGTAGGGTATCTCCCTCTTTATCATTTGATTACTATCCTTGATTTTTTAGTTTTGATTCAAAGCTAAAGAATTACATCTGAATTTCCCTATGATCGATTTTTAATGGCTTGAGAGCATGCTTCCTTAAAAGGTTAAGCTATAGTTAATTACTCTCTTAAAATTTAGCATTATTGTTTATTTCAGTCTTGTATTTGTTTTAGACTTTAGTTTATTTTAGTAGAATTAATTCTATCATCCTCATCCTTGGCCTTATTAACTTTTTCAAACTTTCCTTAATGAATGGGTTTTGAGGTTAAAGAAGATTAGAAATAAAATAAATTTTTCTAATTGGTATCAAGATTAAACTATCGAATAACCACAAAGATTGCTTACTAATTGCTATACAGATCCTGTTGAAACCAAAAATCCCAGAGACCTAATGCCATACTCTACTGAGACAAAAATAAAACCCTCTAAAGGAGATCATGAAGACTACTCAAAGGTAATACTTTCCCTTTACTTTTAGGATGATGAAGATATCAAGCACAATTATCGCCCCAATAGAGGCATGACCTCGAAGATGGGTAAAATCAATAGCGGTGGCCCCAAGGTGGGCGCGGCAAAAGCTGTTAGAGAGAACTTTTACACAAAATATCTCGAAAGATCTGATGTCATAGAAATTGCCATTGACCTCCTTGATCAAGAAGATGTTATTAAGCTCATTTATGTGCTGTATGACGACTTTGGTGAACCAACACCAGATAATTATAAACTGTTTAAACTCCTGATCCAGACTGAGCATATGGAATTATTTGAGTTATGCATACAAAGATGTCTTGATCCAAAGAAGATGTCATTTGACACATTTGAAGACATCAAAGCTCAAGTGGATCAAGAAAGGTCAACCTTCATGAAAAGAATTAATCGATCTAAAAATTTAGAGGAAGACGAAAAATATCTGATTAAATCGAAAGGAAGCAGGTACGATGTTCAAGAAATTGTATCTGATTGCTTCGCTAATGCTATTGTAATGAACAAAATGCATATTGCTTTCTATCTTTACAGAGAATACAAGAAGGCTGTTTTAGGAAATGTCCAAATGTCTATTGATTCCATTCTTTATGCATTTAAGGTCGACTATCAAGTGAAAAATAAAATTATTAATGTTGAGGAAAGACTTTTTGTGCTAGAAAAGTTCATACCATACATTGACTATCAGAAATCTTTTGAATTGATAGAAACATATAGGAATTTAATATGTGAAACTCCTGAATTAAACTTTATGACTTATTGAAAGAATCCCCTTAAGATTATCGTGACTATGATATCTCAAATTCGGCAATTAAAGATAGCTTATCCTTTACTAAAATACCAAGTAGATCACCTGAACGATATTTTAGAAAATATTGGAAGCATAGTTATTAGAAATTCTAAGAGTGTTGACGATGTGCAAGATCTTCTCCTCGACAAGCTTTATAACGACATTGAGATAATTGATATGATAGCACATCTTAACTGTATTCCAATACTACAAAATCCAATTGTTGATGTAATTATTTCGAATATGTATTATGGTCCGTACCAAAGAGGGTCATTCCTCAAAGACAGCAAATGCTTTCAAATAATTCAAGATGAATTAAGTTTCTTCCCAGGAGATGACGTCACTGCATCATCAAAAATGACTATATTCTCTTACAAAGAAGGAAATGCAGCGACGATGAGATCGAGTAATGTTTATGAAATCGAGGATGGAGGGGATCCATTTGAAATATCAGATGAGCAGATTAAAGAAAATGCAGGAAACGATAGCAAAGAGATAGGCCATATGTTCCAATTTGTTGTTTGGAAGAAATCACTTGATGTCAAGTACATCTTCAATGCAGTTATTGCTTTCACTCTTGCAGTAGTTATGCAAGTATTTTCTGCATTATTGATAGAACAGTAAGTATTTAAATTTTAAAAATTTCTAGGATCAGAGATGCTGACTCAATTGACGACAAGATTACAGAGACTTCAGAGAATAGTTCATTGAGCACTGTAGAAAAATAATAAGCTTTTGGATCAGTATACAGATGAGCTTGAGGATTCTACTGCTCTTTATTATGAATACATTACTTTTTTGCTGATAATTCATGTTCTCACTATAGCATATTTGTTTCAAAATTTCCAGGAGATTATCTATTCAAGATTGAGAGGAGTTTACACTAAAGTGATTACTCTCTCCATCATCTTGAATTTTTTGACATCAGCCTTGGTCATATACTGGCTTTACAAGTATCTTTATCAATATACTGTTGATCTTGATGGAGTTGACTCCAGAAGGAAGGTCAAAACCATAATTGATAGAATTAAAGATGATGATTATTTCGACCTTGAATTGGCTATTGCCTTCTTGACAAGTATCCAGTACACAAGAATGATATTTGCTCTCCAGATGAGTAGAATATTTGGACCAATGGTTAAGATTCTAGGAAACATGCTTATTGATTTGTCTCTATTCATCTTCATGTATCTCTTAGTATTCCTGATATTTACTTGTGCGTCACAGCTTATGTTTAACCAAATTGAAGGATATGATAGTTTTATCAACTGCACTCTAACTTTATTCAGCGCAGCTCTCGGAGATTTCTCATTTGATGTATTTGCAGAGGAGTCTACATTTACTAGAAATATCGGATACCTCTTCTTGATAAGTTACTTAATAGTCTCTACTATTACTTTATTGAACTTTTTGATTGCTATTCTATCAAACACTTATGACTTCCTGACAGGACATAAGAATGCTCTTTATTTAAGGGAAGTTATTTATCTCAGACAACAGTATGGGTACGAGCCTAGATACTCTTCAATAATCTCTGCTTTCGTGCCTTTGAACATCTTTGCTATGATCATGGACCCAATTATTATCTGTTTGAAGTCAAGTAAAATCAATGACATGTTCCTTCTTTTCGAGTATATCGTGCTCGGAATACTCTCTGTTATCATATTTTTTGCGATCAGCGCATTGCTTTTACCAATATCATATGTCATTTTAATATTGGATAAACTTAAATTCTGATTCACAAAGCCCTTCTTAGGAAAAGGAGATGTATTGTACAGAGTTTTGGACTTAATCACTATTTTCTTCATCGGTCTCCTCTGGCTTATTATCCTTCTGTTCTGGAGTACAGGGAAATTTATAGTCAAGCTATTTGCTTCAGATATCAAGCTTTTAGAGGAAAATAGGGAGGAAAAACAAGCGCATACTAATGCTTTAAAAGATGGGAGTGTTGATTATACAAAATTCAACTTAATGTATGGAGATCCCGAAAGAGAAATTAATCTCGAAGCTCAGGAAAAAGCCAAGAGCCAAAACAAAAATAAAACACAAAAGAATTACTCTACTGGAAATGTTGGAAACCCTATCAAGGGAGGTATGAGTTTGACAACTCTTAAACTACTCAAGATTACATTACTAATAATGAGGGATGACTACTTGAAAAAGACAAAGAAGGATAAAACAACGACTATTATGGTTCCCATGGGATGTTTGATTAAGGAAATATACAAACACTTCTTCATCCAAGAGCATATTAACCAAATCTGACTCGGAGTATATTATGAAAAAGACCAAGGCTTCTTTGAGACTGAAAGATATTCCAGAATAGTGGAAGGATTCAAATATTATGAAGCAAAGGATGCCAAACTAGCTACAGACAAAGCTAATTATAAAAACTTAGCCAGAGGTATTTACCTGAAACCAATGATTGAGAGGAAGAATGATATCAGAGCCTTGTACTGGAGAAACAAACTTAAATCCTTCCTTATGGATAGTGAAGAGAAATGGATTCTCGACCAATATAACCAGATAAAAAGATTCTGAAATGAGAATGCTGTCGAAGCTGTACCCACATGATATTCTATTGAAGATCTGAAAGAAGCTGGAGGATCAGCTGAAGGCAGTTCAAAATCAGACAATTTCTCTAGAAAAGATAATTCAAAAGCGAACACTTCATTTGCAAAGTAGAGACATACTTTAATTATATAGGAAACCAGGATCATTTGAGTCACAGTCAACAAATGATTCTCTAAAGTCCTCAAGTGCAAAAGCAGAATCTGAAAAGAACGATCAGATTCCAAAAGAGAAATGTCCGACTATTGACATCAGTTCTTTACTAGAAACATTCATAGAGATAGAGAAGAATCTAGAAATGAGAAAAATCTTAAACAGCAAAAGAGTGAACAGACAAAAACTAAGATATCTTGGAGAGAAATCTGTCATTAACGAGAAAGATGAGTAAGCCAACTCTAACATCTTTAGGTACGATGGCCATATCCAAGACACACATATTCCCAAATCATTCTTACTAAAGGAAAGCTCAATGATAAGCTTCAAGAGGAACTGGGAATCCTTAGCTGAAGCCCTTGAGGAGGTAAATAATTAAATTTATTCCCATTCAAATTCAATTTATGAAGTTTGGTCAGGGGTTTTGGGGTTTTGGGGTTTTGGGGTTTTGGGG